TTATTTGAAATTGTAAGTAAATGTGACTGATAAAAAGAAAGTAAACGGTATGCGCTTACCAGTAGGGTGCGGTTGAACGCCGGACGGCGAGTTTCTCCCACCTCGGCCCCGCCATTTGCCTCCGCGGCCCCCGCGACCTCCTCGGCTGCCTCTACGCCCCTGCGAGTGCTCATGCCCCACACTGATCGCCGGCATGCTGCCGCTGAAATCAACACACAAACACCATATGTTGGGAGGAAACGTAGCTGCTAGGTGGGTATAATAATTAACTTCGTGCAAAACTTAGTTGCTGACTCGAGACTCGGTTGCGGCCGCATTTGTTGTCGCGCCACATTCTTGAGATAATTTTGATTCTATTTGAGTAAGGTGGATCCAGAGTTCCCTAACAGCGAACGTGATTCACACGCCAGGCGTGAAAATCACGCCTGACAACTATAAAATCACGCCTGCGGCGTGATGAAAGTCGGTTCCTGATTGGGTGCGTGAAGCTCATGAAGCGTGAAAATCACGCTTGCGTTACGTGAACTCTGTATCCATACACGTATTCCCAAGACATACTTAATGTTATTAATTATTTAATTTTTATTATTTATTTTCTAAATTGTTTTATTCCTCTTACAAAAAAAACCCGCCCCCCGCAAAAATCAAGAAAACGAAGGTGGACCTGCTAACCGAATATCCGGATGTCATATCACATCGCTCATAGTCTGCTTTTTAGGGAAGCAAAGTACTATGAGACAACTATAAAAGGACAATAGTCAAAAAAGGTCGAAAACACTGAAAAGAGAAATAAAAAGAGCATATTTGCGCCCCCCAAAGATATCACAATTTTATCACTAATATTTATCTACTGATTACTAATTAGATGTTCACACTAATAGGCGTCGCAAAATAGCAGCTCTAACAATGCCTTTTCAGGATTCTTTACAGGTTAAAACGAAAGTCGGTGCACTTACCGTGCGAAAGTGCCGCCGCACCTCTGCTACGAGACAGGTTAGGTTGAGCCAGTCTGTATTACCCGACAAGGACAAGCTAGCTTATTACTCGTCGCGTTCTGTGTGATGATAAAATCACAACGCACAGCGCGTAAAATTAAAGCATAAAACATGCACACGTTCCGACTCACGACTGTCACTAAACAAATATAGGCCTAACCATAACCTACTCTTCACGTCACTTGGCACTGACAGAGTCACAGTGAAGCTAGCGCTGGCCGCCTTTGCAAAGGGAGCGGGCAAAGCACAAAGCCAGCCCAGCCGGCGCTGCGCGCTGCAGCGGCGGCTGCTCGGTTCGTGTTCCATCCGCTACTCCGCTACCCGAGTCATGCCCTTCGTCAGTTTCCCGAAGGAAAGGGATGAGGAGGGGGTGGGACGATTCCTCTAATTCTATACTCTTCTTCCGCTAAAAATCACTAAAAACTGCGAAGGACACGCAGTGTTTTCCGGATAGAACAACGAAGCTACACCAACTTCATGGAAAGGGGGGGGCGGAGGGGCGGGGGGGGGGAGTTTGAGCCTTCACGTAACATTTACCAGGTGGCTGATTAACCCCGCGCACTTCAATAGTTATAGGCCTACTTCGCACACTTTCCCATGTGGAGGCGGGTTGTCTACTCGCACAGCCCGTAAGGCGCCGTGGCCGGGGGCGGTACTGTATGCATGCACAGCCACCCAAACGCACGCTTTTCGCTTTTTGTGAATGTATTGCCTACACCTACGAATGCATGAGCATCCAAGAAAATTCATTTTTGATTTCAAGGACCAGCTATTTTGGGTGCACGATAAATCTAGTCACAACACTGCTTAAATGAAAAAGCACGGTACGCACTAGTGAAGTCCTCGCCTGATCGAATTGCACTGAGTAAGGTACACAATGTGGAGGTACTCAGACAGTACAGTCGACAAGTGCAGCCCCGATATCTATCGCGTGGGATTGAGATGGCTATAGATTAAGGGGCCGTACCCAAACCACGTGACTGGTTTTTGGCAGGTTTTGACCCCCCCTCCGCCCCCCCCCCCCCTGTGGTAGTCTGTGGTGGTTTCGGGATCCCCCCCCCCCTCTCACCCACGCCATTTTCACGTGGTTTTCAGCATATGTGTTATTTCACACATTTACGACGATATAGAGCATTTTAACAATAAAAAGTGCATGTTTTCTGGTATTCAAAACTTAATTTAGAGGTGACTTTGCGATCAAACACCGACAGATTTCAGTGATTTATCACGCAATAAACGGGTTTGTGTTAGTTTTTTTTCTTCAAAAATATGCTTATTTGAGCAGGTAATTAATAGTCACGTGACTTTGCCGAAACACCCCCTCCCCCCATGCGGTGGTGAGTGGTGTTTTCACAGACCCCCCCCTCCCCCAAAATGCGTCACGTGGTTTGAGTACGGCCCCTCAATGGCGCGCTTCACGTGGACAGACTGCCGACTCGGGGGGCGGTTTGGCCGACTCGCTTTGCAGTGGAAGTGTGGGTGATCAGAGCACGGCACAGCAGCACCTAGCGCGTGCCAGTCGTAGCGACACTTTTCAAGGCTCTACTGCACCCTGCACCGTGTGTCAGCGCTAACGTCACAACAGGGTTGTGGGTTCGCATACCTTAGGAGCCATGGCGCCTTAGAGGTGGAGCGAGTAGGCAAACCCGCAAACAGCTGTGAAACACTGTACAGAAGCTTACAAGGGGAAGTCTTATGGACACATGAAAATAGTACAACGATCTTGTCCTTCACCGCCACAGACCTCCCTTTCATTTGTTGTAGTTTGGTGCAATATTTTTCACAGCGTATGTGAAAGGATTTCGCGGTTCGCGGTTAACCCAATGT